GTCATTCACATTTCAAGCTCTCAGAACATTGAACATATGGAGCCTGTGACTATCAAGGTTCCCCTCGCCCTTCGTGAAAGTAAGCATGACTTATCAGAGCTTACAAATGAGGTTATTAGGATATCATACTTCGACTCAGAGGGCAAACAATGGAGAGATATCACAGGTCAACTAGAAGGGCCAGTTGCTGTTAAAGATGGAATTGTAGAATTCAAAGTGAAGCATTTCAGTCGGTGAGTTATGCAAAGTCTTTGGTTTAGTTCCATGGGAAGAGATTTCATATTTATTTTGTCATTCCATTAATAGGATGTTTGTCATATGGGCCTAGTTTTCAGCCCCTAGTTACATGACACTGTGGTTGGGGCACTCCTAGTGTTTTTTTCTCCAGAGCGTATTGAGAAAAATTGAGAAGCGTATGGTACCTTTTCGATGTCATCGGGAAATAATTAGACTAGCTAGTCTTCTTGAATAAAGGCTATTAACCAGGGTTTCCAATAAAAAAAAAACCCCTTAACGGTAGTCTACCGCCACCCTAAAGACCATTTACCACCGTCTGTTGAACCTGCAAGCAGGCTCTCTTGAGATAGACGTGTCTCAGAGTGAAACAGCCTTCCAGGTTTTCAAACACTAAGGATCATTTTTGAGTAAGATGTTGGAGTTTATTCATGTTTTTACTTTTTGTTTTGCAGTTTCTGTCCAGTCTGCATGTTCACTGAGTCTGTTGCTCTTTTACGAGATTTTTTTCGTCGTCTTTTCTTCAGATCCATGCCTCAATGTGTACATTTTCTCGCTTGTTTATCTAATACACCATGTCCTGATACTTACAGCCTTTTACTGTACTGTTATCCAAACTTTAAAAAAGCCGACGTGGAAAAGAAATTGTTAGGATATGACATACCTTACCAAGGTGAAGGAAAGTCAAAGGAGCCTGCTTGTGTCGGGGAAGGAATTGTGGTTTCCCCAATAGCGCTTGATTTTGTGAGGGAGTCTCAAAGGAATGAAAAGATAGTTCTCAGGTAAGTTATTGATTTCCTTTGAAAAGTTTTTCATGATACAGCATAGTACAGCTAAGAGTCTTGACTTACCAAATTACCTCTTGACACTCTTACTCCCAAGATCCAACTGTTAATTCTCCCCACTAGCTGCAACAGATTTCCTTGTAAATTAATAACGAGAATTTAGTGTTTGACGAAGATTACAACTTTTACCCGGTAAGTTTAAGTATTCTCATTACCTGATTGCTGGATAATATGTGGATATTACGGGGAGAGGTGACTTGTTAATCACTTCTGGGAGTAAAGGGGTTTAAAGGAAACAAAAACAAAACCTGGCAGGTTTTGTACATTTTTATAAATTGCTTCTATAGGCTAATGACGCTTATAATATTTTTATTATTTATTTATTCAATTATCTTGTTAGAAAGTTAATAAGGTATATATTTAAACTTTGAATAATGCATAATAACTTCTTTATTAATTAGTATTTGTACAGGTTACTTCTCGGTAGTAGGGTCAAAAGTTCTGCATTCATCAGGTTGAATATGAGTCGGGTGGGGGGGGGGGGGGGTGGTTGGTGGCCAGTATGAAGTAGAGAAGTAGAGATAAAATGAAACCCACACAATCTAGCTAGAAATAATTATTTGGTTTCCATTTTTCAGGTTTCTTGGAAATGATATATCTGACAACAGTGACATGGCTTTGCATGTTCGCTTGGACAGTAAAAGTGCTCCAACAGTGAAGTTCTCGAAAGGCGAAGAGCAACAAAAACTTCTCTGTGAAGTGCCAATCTTAAAGACTCGTCCAGCATCTGTGGTACAGATAGAGTCGTTTAGTAAATCTTCCTTTTAGAACAATATTCAATTGAATGTCGAAAGTAATCCGAGATTTTATTGGCTTCACTTTACTTGGCTCTTTGATTAGTCCAGGAAACTGGCACCTCTCTCTCAAACAATCAGATGCAAAACAACTCAGTTACCCATGTTTCCCCGCGCTTCAGGTTGTTTGGTTGGGTTTTATTTTGACCTCTCATTGGCTTTCAAAGGTATTTTCCTTTCTTCTGAATGCCTGTTGTGATAACTTTGGTTTTTGGTCTTAGGACAATTGTTTTTACAATCCAATTTACCGGTAATTCATGACCTAAACCAACACTTATTATTAGTACAGTAGCTTACTTTGTATCTTAAACTTTATTCGATGAATCATGGATTATTCGAGCGTAAATGCTAGATTCTAAAATCTCGAGAATGAAATCGGTCAGAATACTGGTTCTTTTAGTTTTTAGTATCTTCACGCCTGAAATACCATTTGACATCGAGCAGATGAGTAAGATGAGTTTTTTTTAAAATCATGATTTCTTATGATTATGTCGCAGGTTCCTGTGGTACCTGAGGAAAGACCTGCACTGGGTGAGTGGACCTTGACAATCACTTGATTAGAAAAAAGGGGTGGGAGGAGGTGATCATAATACCACGCATTGTATTCCTTTTTTTTTGCAACTAGTAGATCACTAAGCCAGGTAGCAGGATGCCGTTTTGATTGACACTTATTTTGATAGGGGACCAGTCACTATCTATGGGGGGAGGGTTGAGGATTTTGGTCAAGTCAGGATAAAATGAACCTGATCCCCCCTAAAGGTTCTGTAATATATTTATCATTTCCTCCCCCCTCAATGGTAGTTTATTGGGAGTCAATTTTCTATAAAACCCCCCTCTGTACTCTGTTGATGACAACTGATTCCCCCTCAGTTTCCCCTGAAAACCATATGATCCCAAACCATGAAACTGAAACTGAAAACCATGTGATCCCAGGCAATTATTAGGTGATCTAGATGGCAGACTCTGAGGAGAGTTACTCATGAGATCTGGGAGTGAAAGCGTTAATAACTAAAGTAAGTGTTTGGTATCTCAGGGTGTCAAGTTTCTATTTTTTCCTATTTTTTCCTATTTTTTGGCCTGCCTCCTATTTTCTCCTACTTTTTCAAGAAACTCCTAGTTTTTCCTTTTTTTAGGGTTTTACTGGGTACACAGAAACACTTTGAAATATTTGAAATAAAATTGCCAATAAAATTGATAAATTCTACCAAAAAAACTGAAACTTCTTGTCAAAAAAGACCAGTTTGAGGCCTTTCTGAGTGATTTTCTTCTGAAACTCGTAGGACAAAAGGGAAAACTGTTGACTGATAAACAGTAGAAACTGTTAGAAAAGGCCATCTCCTCAACAGCAAATGCGGCCAAAAAAAAGAGCAAAGCTATGGTTACCCAATCTGCTAAAAGAGCGAAAACAGTATACTGGTAGTGTTGGACTTTTTGGTTGTTGATGTTCAAAAGTCGTGGTTGGCTTCTATTGTGAGGAAGACATACATTTGGTGACAGTGAACTTGATATTGTTTCGATTTGTCAAAAAAATTATTGTTGCTTATCGTTCTCACAGTTTTAAAGGACTAATGACTTAAATTAATGGCGTCTTGTGATGTACCTAATGAAATTTGGAATCTGGTGATTATTGTAGGATGAGTTGTGCTTGGTAACATAGGTGGTAACACTTGATTTTGTTTATATGGCAATGCATTGTGGATGTATGCCATGGTGCCTGTTAAATATTAAAGCACTGGGTTGTGGAACGGAGTTGCTGTTGGGAGTGTTAAGAGGATAGATCTCAAAGAAATCCTCCTATTTTTTTCCTATTTTGGGGTGAGAATTCCTATTTATTTCCTATTTTTTGGCCACTGTCATTCCTATTTTATAAGTATCATTTGTCACTTGGCACCCTGGTATCTCAAAATCAACAGTTTACATCAGAACCTTGAATGCGCAATAAATTTTTAGTTTCAGCATGAGAGACAAGTTTGAATTTTTTGCTTGAGTATCATGCTCAATGTGTAAGAGTTGAAAGCTCTGCGTGTAGAAGCCTTATTGACCACATGGTACCTCTATGGTACCTCTATTGATTAGAGCTACCAGGGAATAAAAATACTGTTCTTCAAGTAATTGTTAAAAGTGGGTTTTAGGAAGTATTTATTCAGTGAGCAACTTTTTCATTTAAAGATATTTAAAATTTGAATTTTATATTAATCTTATGCCCAACTGGTTTTAGTCAATGCAGGTGCAGCAGATTTGAATGTTTTTTTTTTCCCAACCCTCAATTAGTTGCTGATGTAGAGAAGGAGGAAAAAGATAATCAAGATCAATGCAATCCACGTGGTAAGAAATTTTATTGGTTGACCAACATTTCCTAAGACTACGATCGTTACAACTTGATACTGAACGTATATTCAACCTATGATGTGACCATAAATCGTGCTGTATACTTTTGTCATGACTTATTGACAACTGAGAAATTATCTTAAATTGTTTTACTTGATTTTCCGTCCTAAGTCAACTAACAGTTGTCTTTATTTATGCTTCTCATTAACAATTAATTTGTCTTTGTAGTCAAACAAGGTACACCCAGTGACGATGAACTGGAATATCTTGCCTCAAAGCTTGGTGATCTTTGGAAAAAGCTTGGGCGCCGCTTGAAAATCCTAGAACCAAAGCTTGATGATCTGAACAAATTAAACGAGGCTCTCTCTGAAAAGGGATATAAAATGCTCAGGCATTGGCATGAGGTAAACGGGTCAGCGGCAACGTACGAAATTTTGGGTCTTGCCTTACTGGATAGGCTTGTGAATCGACGAGATTTAGCGGAGGAATTTTGCTATGAGAAACAATAACCGAAAAAAATAAGACAAGTCTCGTGATGTTCACCCACAGAATGGCAAATATGCCTCACGTGGCGCGGTTCATATTTCAAATCAAGCAAGCTTCCAAGAAATGTTTTGGACGCATTTTCTTCAAAACGAATGTAATTACCACCTATTTCAAAATTCTTCAAGCAGATTCGCCCATGCTCCCCCCACGGTGACCAAATAATTTGCCACTATAGTAATATACAACATTTAAAAAAGACTTAGCCGTCTCCATTCCAAATACTCCTCTTTGCCACAGCTACCTTTCTTCTTCATCAGTGACTGGCTCCTTCTTTTTGTTTCGCTTTCGAACCAATGCTAGCTCGAGTCCCATCCTTCATTTCTGCGTCCAATATTCGTCTAAAGATAGCAAATCTAATGAGGAAAAGGGAAAGTTCGATGCAATCTCCTTAAGTTTTAAAATATCCAACGGCCCCCTCTCCGACAACGCCGATTCACGCACCTTTTGTCTGAAGAGTCCAAGCGATTGAATTCGATAGCTGGGTTCTTTTCCACCATGAATCGGCGAATGCCGCAGACAATCTGGTACAACGTTTTCGGAGGTTATGGATCTTTGGAACACTTTGCCACCTCTTGAACAAATTTGGATAACCAATAGTTGAGCGTCAATGCTTCCATCTATGTTATGGGCCGAGTAAGCGGCTGAACTTTTTCCAATTCATACTCTTAAAAAACTCCACCAACTTCGACTATTGGAAACTTGACACTTCGCACTCGTTGCCAATCCTCAAAAATCCCTACTGCCCTCTTATTTTTATATCTGTTAGAATTCGGTACTGCTCTCTCTACGCAAAGTTCTTCTTCCTCGATTGTTTTCGGGAAGCGAAGCCTTCCTTCGGCTATGGCAAAAACAACATTTAAACTACTTCAAGTTCACAACGCTTTTGGAATACAAATTTGGTACAACGCGAAACTATTGGATACTTAAAAACAAAAGCTCACAAATACAATGAATGCCGACTGAAGGCAACAAATCACATGTACAAGGCATTTTAAATAAAAATGGGAAAAAGACAACACTGCATAATTTAGTATTGTTCCTTTGGAGAAGTCATTTCAAAAACTCGTGCTTCGGGTTTCATCAAGTTTCCAGACGCTCGAAAACAATAACACTACTCGGCCTGCGGCCTTGTGGTTTCAAATGTTTTCTCGCGTTTGGAAACCTGATGACACCCTCGCTCTCGTTTTTGAAATAGTACAAAGTAATTTTTTAATCTATATGGAAACCCCCGGAAAGGGGTACACGGGTCATTTTCTGCTGGGTATGTGCAGTTGGCTTTTCTGAACCTTTGCCGTATTTTAGCCTATGTTGTGGCCAATTAGAGACCCCATATTTGTCCGCTTTTGGGCAAGACCGGAATGGAATGGGAGCCATCAGGAGCCCTACTACGGCTGCGGAGCCGCTAAACTGTAGGCCCCTTGCGGCCTATAGTTCACTCTTCCCTATAAAAACGACATTGTCGGATTGAAAGAAGACAGACCATTTTGATTAAGAAATTATTGTAAAGAAATAAGTGTAGTTACATGATTTATGGTAGTAGTGCCTTTTACAATGATCGCTCTTCTCATTTTAAGTAAGCTGTGTAACTACGCGGTTGCGCACGTGCAAACAGGAAAGGAGACACTGTTAAAATTCCGTCGAAGCCTGAATTTCTTTCAGGCTTTTTTCAGCAATTGTTTAAACAGCAGCGCATCTGCGAGGATCACTGCTTTACTTAATTTTCATCCACAGGTCAAATGAAATTTATTCAGATTAGAATTGTGAAATATTTAGGCCCAGTACATACAGGAGCTCCTGGTACATGTTAAAAAGCAGAGACTGTTTCAAAGACATGAAAGGAAAAATAACTTACAGTTATCCCTTGAAATGCTGCAATCACCTTTCTGAGGACCTCAATATTAAAATTTTCTGGGTAGGGGGCATGCCCCTCTGTCCTCCGAGGATGGTCTGCCTTCGGCGAACATCTACCAGAGTCCTAAGTGAATCTTGGACTTTCCCCAAATACACAAATTGTCTTTGGTTTTCTCAGATTAAATTTATATAATTCATAAGAATTATTACTAGGATGCTGTTTTAACATTTTTAAAATTCTCAGTTTCGATGAAGTACCACTTTGGAGAGGGTCCACTCGTATCTCGGGCAAAAATTCACCGCGGTTTTTTTCTTAATTTATTTTTACATTGATGGCGCTGTTTCATGGGATAAATGTGCCAATAAGCGATTGTTCCGCTGCCTATACGACGCCGAAGATCAAGTAATTTCGTGGAGCTGGATTTGCCATCCAATACGCGAACTTTTTACTTTTGAGTGAAGTAAATAGTTTACTAGCCTTGTAACGTATCCACGATAGCCATGCCTTTTAATTGCCGCCTTCACTCTGTTGATTGCGCTAGTCAATGGAATGAACAGGTGTGAATTAATCCAGTCACGTTTCGAGGAATTGTTCGACAACAATTAAGATAACAAACAGCAACAATTCCGTTTGAGAAGTTTTATTGGCAAAAGAAAGGCTAAAAGTAATTAAGTTCAACCTTTTTAGTTTAAATGTGTCGCCCAACTCTCTTTTTCCGGCACGATAACCCCTTAGTGCTGTGAATTTTACTTCCGCCTTTGGAAATCGTTTCTTAAATATACAACTGTAGGTGAAATTTAATTTACACACTAGTAACAACTTAGGCTCCTAGTGTCAGACGCTTAAATGCTTCCAATAACGGTATTTAAGGTACAAAGACATCGATCTGAAGTAAAGACTCGGCAGACGCTGAGGCCACTGACTTGAATTGCGAGACCGAGAACAAACTATTTACCCTAAACAACAACCAACCATTAAGCCGTCGCTAGACTCAGATAATGGCTAAGTACTGTTAATGACAAGACAATATTGCGTTAGAGTTGAGACGATGTACTCTTTTTTGCGTTCATGTTAACGATGCGTCAGCATATACACCGTATTTTTTTCTTATTTCTAAACTACAGGGATCATATATTAAATTCTCCTCGTTAACATCTTAACTCTAATAAGCTTCTCCCATTAGAACGAGGACCCCTGCTGTAAGTAAAAATCCTAGATCACAAGGAAAAGTGACAATTTGGGACTCACCACAAAGGCTAACGAGTTCCGATTCAAAAATGGCGGGCCTACGGTTTTTCAAAGGTTCCTTTCGCCACCCTTGAAAAGGAACCACAACCCTTCAGCTCTGAAGTTTCTTAACTAGTATGACTGCTCTTGTGGGAGCCACATATAGACCTATGACTTGTCTGCCACTGCAGTGGAATCATACAAGATTGTAGATATCTAACAGATGGAGAAAAATTCTTGATTTTTTCATTGTTCTTGTACCAACATCATGATTTGACAGAGGATAATGGAGTATGGATGGGCAGTGACTGTTTTTGAATAAAATCATATTTATTTGGAAGCTGCAATGTAAACATTTTTTCCCCAAAACACTTACAAAGACTAACACGAGGCACCCTTGTAACATGAGCACTGCCCATAGGGTAGCCTGTGACGCTCATTAAAATCTAATCTAAATTGATATTTGTGTTTGGCAGAGTAAGTGGTGTTTAAATATGGCCAGTCAAGCCGAAAGAGATGCAGATAATGGTGCCAGACCAAGTACTGGTGGTTCTGCCATGAGATTAGTGACAGCAGAGGGAATAAGGTAGAGATTAATGATGTTTGGACAGCTAGAATATTGGTGACCGCTGTCTCTGGGGCTGGAATTTCTTCAGGAAGAGGCATAGGAACTTTTTTCCGTAAGAACCCAAAATTGGTTACAGATAAATTACAACCGGCTCGTAAAGTTTGGGTTAAAGTTAAGAACACCGGGCCTGGGTCAATTATTGTTGACTTGGATTGTGGATCACATAAGAAATTTTTACAATTTTAAAAAGACTTCAAGGATGGTAAAGTTAAAGATGCAATGGAGAATGAGTTAAGAAAAATTGGCTACCATGCCAAACTGGAATTAAAACTCATAGAGGAAACTCGCAATGTGGCTATGATCGAAACGAGGTAAATGGGTTGTTTTTATTTGATAGCTGACATGTAATGGTCTGTTAGTCAAGAGACTGGCCAGGCCTTCCCTTCATACGTCCCTCAACAGGCAAGTTAAGCATTTTAGCAGGCAGTCACATTAACATCTCTAGTCATACCTGTTTAAGCTTGTATTGTAATTTAGTACACCCTAAAATCAATGTGCACACATTCTCCATACTGTTCTCTAAACATTTCCCAAAGTAGACACAAGGAGAATTTATTTAACAATCAAGAGCTTCTTTAATTAGTTGGTAATCATTTCCTTTATTCTCCTGACCTTGACCGTGTGGTTTAGGGATGATATTGTAAGGAGAAATTAAATGCTAGATTAAGTCACTCTCGGGGATCCAATGGTTTGTATTTAGTTCTGTTTCCAACAGTGTGAAGATTGTTTTATCTGCATTAATGCCTTTACTGTTCGGTTCAAATGCATTACTGGGTTCTCTATTAATTCTTCCAGATATGCTAAGGACCTTTAGTATGAAAATTTTGCTTTTTCATAATGACCAGCAAGCTCCCACTTTTGACTAACATAACATTCTTGATTTGAGCTCGCGATGAAAATCCACGAAGTTATAGGTGACGATAGAGTTCTCTAACCACTAATCTCTTGTAAAAATGCAAACTGCTCAGAATCAAAATAGAGAATTAATTATTCACTTTATGTGGATGTTTTTTGTTTCAAATGCCACATTCTTATCTGAGATTCAGTATAATTAAGAGTTCTTGTCAGCTGTGTTATTTTATTTTATTTGTTAGTGTTGACATTTATCCATCATCACAATGTATTGACCTCTAATGTTAGCAAAAAGAAAAAAATAGTTATTTGATAGGTAGGAGCTATATTTTTTGAGAACATGGTTTTCCATAGGGTACAATGTTGTATTTTCAACAAAAAACCTAGGATGGGAAAGACCAAGAAAATTTTATTTGCTGAAGAAATTCAGAAATCAGGAAAAAAGTGGCATCCAAGAGCTGGTGTGACATGTGCTCTATGAATGTTTACAGACATTTACATAATGCAATATATCAACACTATATATATACACTTTATAGGTGTAAAGTAGAGATAACTTTGCAGCATGTAGTTACCAATAAAATTTCCAGTTAGTTATTAATCTTCAGAATCTAGTAATTAATTTAACCTTGGTTTACATCCTTTTATTATTAGCCTTACAACATTGTACAACAAGACTGTTTAGCTAATATTAAACACGCCTACGTAGCAATCATCTCCATGTGCCTGAAAAACGCAAAAAAATTATGCCTGTTCTGTAGGCTAAATCTCTTTAACTTTAGTTCTTTAGGCAACAAGTTAGTGGGAGGAAATGCAAGCACAAAAATGAGATACCACATTTTTACCCTAACCTTTTCATCTCTCTTGCTTACATACTAGCTTCTGGTTCCACTGAAGTTAAGCAAGAGGAAAAAAGGGGCTGAGGAACTTCTGGGGTATCCAGCACTAGTGAGACAAGGAAGTTTAAGGGTAATGACAAAAGAAAAATTACATTTTTAAGTTGATTAATTTTCAAAAAACTTGTAATTGCTGCATGCACTTTACGTAATTATCCATTAGCATGATATTTTAAGGATGGATCATGTAAAATTTCTTTACAGACTTGAAGAACTTTCAATCTCTCTCCCAAAATAGGTTTTTTGTCATAAATTGTTACTGACTTTCAATCAGTTATACCCCCACTAGCTCTCAAAATGTAAATCAACTGTGATCAGTTTGATTCAACATATTATACCTGATAATATGAGGAATGTGTGTGTGGATATGTATTTGTATACTTTTAAAATTGACCAGTCTCCCCCAGCAGCGCTCATCTCAGGACCAATACGAACAATCCGTTCCCAAACATTGTAAATAATCACGGAGTGTAAAAACCCAACTGGCCGGAGGCAGGCCGCAGTTGGCTAACAGCTAAGGACGGCTTGTTCCCAGGACCACCAGACTTCAAATGCGGTATCCAAACCACTTGGCCAACCTACCTCCACGATAACTGATAGAAAATTTCCGGCATGACAGAAAAAAGCCTTTCTTCACGTACAACATGTGTTTAGCTAATTTCATACACGTATTTGATTGCATCTATTTAAGGAAAGACGCATAGATGGGGGAGAATGTTTTAGAATGATCGTATGTCAGCTCAAGAGAGAAGTTCTTTAAAATAAAGCTGGAGTATTTTAGATAAACTCTATAAGTATTCTAAGTTTTTTTAATGAAGACAACTATATATACTGTCTTAAAAAATGAAAGAACTGCTTGTTTGGAGCAATCACGTTAGTGATTATGGGAACGTTTATTTAATGATTGAGGAACGAAACAAATGCAGTCGTTCGTCGTTGGTAATCACAGCTTCAATTTGTCTTTGTACAAATCGAGGATGGCGATATTTTATTTTGCCATGGTAGTATTATAGTTAACTAGTGTTTGCTTAGCAGCTCTCTTTTATGCAATGTAATGGAATATTTAGCCCGGTTATGAAATACATAGAGTGCATTTACTTTGAACGTTCAAGATGTGGTGTTCCAAAACGTGTTTATGCACCCCACTTTCCCTGAAATAGACGAACGCAATATTGACCGTATCACGCCTGTTCGAGAAAAAACATTAACCTTGGACCTAAGCCTCTTCCGCGGCAGTGTACCCTCACCTTTGGGAAAATTCTAACAGATAAAACCGGCACACCAGCAAATTTGATCACCTTCTGGTTTGTCATACTTCTTTTTCTTCAAGCTTCTTTTCTCAACTCCATGGATTTGAGCGCTCTTTGACTTAAGATTCTCGACCTTGGAGCTTACATTTGTTAAATTCATTTTTAACAAAGTTCGCATATAACGCGCGCTGTCATTGGTTGAAAGAGCGTGCTCTATCAGAATACAAACATGAAGCTGAGCTGTCACGCCATCTGCCAAACTGAACTATGTCCGATCTTTTCCGAGACTTCTCTCTAGCCTTTTTCCGTTAATTGAAAGTGAAATTTCGAAACAAGCGCCGGAAGTTAGGAACAAAAGAACTAAAGAAAGATTTGTAATAATAATAACCATAGCAATAATAATAATAATAATAATAATTATAATAATAATAATGATGATGATATTGATAATGATGATAAAGTTTTTTTGGGCACATTAAGAAAATTCAATCCTCTATCATTACTATATAGAAAAAATTAATTAATTAAAAGCTACAAAATGTTGCTTATAAGAGTAAACATACCAAGCGCCGTAATTTACGTTATTTTAACGTGAGCAGAGACGAAAATTCTTAAAGAGAAAATTAATTGGACTGTCCTAGTTTTGACGGTTTTCACGCTCAGTTGCTCAGTACTCAAGAAGTTGGGAGAAACACTGGACTGCGTCTCATGTTTCTCCTAGAGATTTATGGCGTTAAATCTTACAATGAGCTTGGAGATATTTCGAATCCGTCCACCGGGAACGCATCATATTTTTCCTTGTCACGCGCAATTGAAAGAAGTTCTTTTACCTCAGTCACATCCTGCTTTATGTTGCTGTACTGGATTTACAGATTTCTTTCATTTGACCGGGGCCATGTCGTGGGATTTATGCCAGCTGTCCCAAGTTTACGAGTTGTAATTAGCATTTCTCAACAGAATACCAACATAATTTATGCAAGTTTTTCCCGCGCTTCCCATGTCTCATGGGATAGCGTGCTTCCGGGTTATATTAACTGTTGCCGTACACATCCTGACGATGTCATACAATTTTCACGAGGACCACGCGATCAAGTGAGTTGATTTACACCTCCAGATAAGGTGAGAGGGATCGCTGAACAATCTCTATAAGTTATGACATACTTTATGTGGCCTCCTATTCGGCTCGCTGTCGCTAAGTACTTCTTACTGAATACGAAACATCGATCGCCTGCAGTGAGATTCGTTTCAGCTCCTTTTTGAACGAAGTATCGACTAGGGAAACAAGCGAAGGAGCATTCAGTGAACGAGAGGTTAAAATAAAAGAAAGTACTTGAGGATAAATCATCCTGCATCGTAAAGACTGACAGTAAAATTTCAACAGTATGTACTTTGATGACCTTGGTTGGAAACTTGAAGAGATGAGATCTTATATCTGGTATCTTCCATCACAGACTCTCGATTCCAATATAAGAGTTATTAGATGAGCAAGGAGGCTTGAACAAGCGCTTTACAAAATGTAGAACGAAATTAGGTGGATCCAAACATTTCCTGTGTTGCAAATGAAGCAATGCTTCAAGACATGCCTTTGTATGTATATAGGCTAGCCAATCTTGCACCACATTTGGAAAGCTGATAAGAGGCACCCTATTTCTAATGACCACTGCTCTTGTTCTGAAAGGGAAAACCCCTAGGTGATATATCGATAAGTAATCAGTTTTATAATGGTTGGAATGGTGCCGGTATACGAAATTGTAGATCAGTAATATGTATTGTAAACTGCTTTGTGAAAATAGGTGAATATCATCGTGTCAAAAGGGTTGAAAAATCGATAGGAGTTTAATTTTGTGGTTTGGCATACTTTTCTGATTTTTAGGATAAATGTTTGTGCTTCAAAGTGAGTGAAATTTCTGCTGGGAACAAATAATAATAATTACAATATTATTTTCTTTTCAAGTAGCAGAACATTGACAAGGAAGCTACTTACAACTGGAAACAGCACACTCTGCATCTTATTCCCCAGCATATACACATGAGAAAACATGTTTAGTTAAACCGGATTTCACTAAATGAAAATCAGAAACAGAGAACTGAAGAAATGAAAAAGGCATCACGACTTAAATTAATGTAAGAGTGAAATCCAAAAAGAAGACAGAAATCAGGGGCTGTTTTGTATCTGTGAAATTAGATCAATGCTGATTTCAGTACAATATGTATGTTTTAGTGCACAGATGTGTTGATTTTCATGTGCTCAAAGGCACCAAGCCTTAAATATGTACATAGAAATTACACCAGATAACAAGCTTGCTACAAAAATATGCAACAGATATTAATCACAGCTACTTACAGGGCTTAACACTATACAGGTTTCGCCTCCTTGGTTACATTGTAATGATGAGTTGAAGTACAGCTGCACCAACATGTTTTACTCATTTGGGGCTTAGATGAATGACAGTCACAGTGATACTTTGATTACAATTGTCACTGTGTAATTTGTGCTATTTGTTTATTGAAATCTAACAGGACGTGCTGAGGAAATGCAACAGGAGTCCCAAGGCAAAAGGCCTTCAGCTCAAAAGCGAGTGGCTGGTAATTACTCACTTGTCTATTTTTCAAACATGCTGCAATGTTATGAACAAACTGCATCTTTCAATAATGAGCAGGTACAAAACATTTCATCGAAATCAATATACCAATATATTTTTGGGACATTTTTTGAATATTGAAGAAAACAATTCCTGGACAATACAATGTCATAGTTATGAAATTTTCCAAGTGAATGCTCTGATAGGGGTACTTCCATTTTCTGACTGACCCTGCTGAGGATCCATGCATCAAATGTAGATTTTTCTCACTTATTAGGGAACTGATGAAAAGGTGACTTGCTCTTGAAATAAAGGAACTGTGTAACTTTACATTCATCAGAAATCTGTGGATTTCATTTATTGTTATTTGTCAACCAGATTGCTTTCACATCAGTTCCAGGGAAATGTTTATATCACTTTAGGCATTTTTGTTATAAGGTGATTAGCAAACTAATTTATTACTTACCATTTTAAGGGACAAAATCCATGATGATGATTATTACCGTATTTAAATTCTTCTGTGGGACATTACTCCAAAGCAATCATTTCTGCTTTAGACTGAGCAGGGCTTAAAGCTGCAACCGTTTTGGTTGCTATGGCAACCGGCCAATTTTGCCATTGATTATCTTGCATTTGCTGGTTCTGTATAGTATGTATTAGCCAGCTGTAATATTCTTTAAAAGAGAGATAAATAATTGTCACCCTCTCAAAAGCATACAGAGGGTACTAAAGACTTTTTATTTGCCAGTTTTTTTAATTCCTGGAAACAGAGAAAAGGTTTAAGTTGATGCAATTGATTCAATTAATTGTCAGAAGAGAATTATTATCAAACAGAAAATAATAATGCTTGGGTGCCTTCTTAACTGGAACAGCACTGGTAATTTTTAAACATATTTATCTCAGAAGCAATTGGGTAGTTATAGTAAGGTTGCATGAACCTGAAACAGGCATGTTTCTTTTAATTGTGAAAGTTTATACAATGAACTATTAGATTTTATTAGTTATATAAATAATAAGTTTGGAAATTATACAGTATTAAACAATAATTAATATAATTATAACAAATTACTATTTTGATGGTTATCATGCTAATGGAGAATACAAATGACTTAGGCCACCACTTAACTGTGTTAGCAAAAATACATTTATTTACTGCTGACCAGAAGAGCATCCTGATTTTAGCCAATGGTTACCGGGTAAATTTATTTTATTAGATCAAAAAATATCACTTATTGTCAGAGCTTGATATTCCAGGATCCATATTTTAGCCTGCAGAAGAGATTTAAATTCTTTTGCCTTTTTCAGTAGAATTGAGGCAAGCATGGGGCAAGCATGAAGTCAAGGGCTGGAGTTATTATTTGCACTCCTACCCAGTGCGTGACTTGTGCTCACCTAGCACTTATGTCCATTTGCCTGAAAAATGCAACAAATCATGCCAGTTCTGCCAGCTAAAACTCTTGAAATTTAGTTCATGAGACAAACTAATTAGGAGGAAGAAATGTAAGCACAAAAATGAAGTATTAAATTCTTACCCTAACCTTTTCATCTGTCTTACTTTGTTCCACTGAAGTTAAGCAAAAGGAGAAAAGTGACTTAGCTACCAAAAAACCTAAACTTGATCCTACTGGTGAACCTGGAACTTCTGGGGTATCCAGCACTAGGAAGACAAGGAAGTTTAAGGGTAAGGACCAAAGGAAAATTACATTTTAAGCTGATTAATTATCCAGTAGCATAATATTTTAAGGATCAGTCATGAAAAATTTCTTTGCAGAGTTGAAGAACCTTCAATCTCTCTCCCAAAGTAGTTTTTTTCTGTGATGAATTGTTACTGACTCACAATCAGTTATACCCCCACTAGCTGTGACAACAAAAGTCAACTCTGATCAGCTCCATTCAACATATCATACCTGATAATATGAGGGATGTGTGTGTGGATATCTATTTGTATAGTTATAAAATTGACTAGTCTCCTCCAACAGGGCTCATCTCAGGACCAATATGAAAAATCTGGTTCCAAACATTGTAAATAACCTTACCTGCATGGGTTTGTCAATCAGAAGAAAATCAAAAAGGCCAATCAGGATTTAATTAGGAAAAATGTGATTTTCCTGGGCATTGGCACCAACCTTTAATCACTGATGTGATGATGAATTTTTTTAAAAAAAGGAAAACTAGGATAAAGAAATTCATAAATCAGTTTATATTAGCTAAACTAAGTCTTTCTATGATTATGATTCAAATTCTCCTGTGGGAGCATTACTCCAGAGTAATCATTTGTGGTTTTTAGTAAGCAGGGCTTTAAGTTGCAACTAGCTGTTTTGGTTGCCATAGCAATTGGCGTATTTGGTCATCTTTGGTTATCTTGTGTTTGCTGGTCGTGCATTGCATGATGCTAGCCAGCTGTAACATTCTTTAAAAGAGAGATAAACAATTTTGCATTGTAGAATGCTTATTGAAATACTAGCCAGTTTATAATTGCCACATAGTACTATTCTCTCAAAGACATAAGTGGTCAGCACTAGTCAGGGAAAACTAGGATCTAAAAGGAAAACTAGACATTCATAAATCAGTTTAAATTGATTGAACTAAGTTTTCTGTTTCCCTCTTTTTCCTTGATAGTGTTACATATTGCAGTTATTGCATAGAAATAAAGACAATTAACCACACGAGAAAATTAATTAAATGAAGAGCTCTACTTAAGATATGTCTGCACGCAGTTTATTAGACTGCAATCAGCCACTTTATCATGAGTCTCAGGTGCATAGCTAGCATTCACTCTTATGTGGTTAATGAGGGCAAGTTTGACTTAACTATGGATGCCTTTGGAAAGTGATATGAATATGTGCATGAGTAAAACACCTGTTTAGAGACTCTGGGGAATTGCAGCTTCAAAGAAATCTTTGGCTCACTTAGTTTGGTGCCTCAGAGGACTCCTGTTTGAGGGATCTGTGTTTCAACCCTGGGTAGGTCATTTAGAGTTAAACCTTTAATCCCTGAGAGTGACCAGCATCTAATTTCTCCTTACAGTAATACGGCTGAATCATTTATGAAGATCATGAGAATAAAGGAAACGATCACCACCAAAGAAGCTTTGATTGTTAAACAAATTCTCCTTGTCAGTACCAGAAGAAAAATGAAGAGCAGAGTATGGAGAATGTGGATACTATTGTTTGGGTGTAAAGGGTTGAATGTTCTTTATTGAGACTGACTTTACTCTCACCCAGTGCCTCTCTTCACCCAGGAGTATAAATGGGTACTGATGAACTGTCAGAAAACCTGATCAAATGTTGTAGGGAGGGGAGGGGGGTGGTTAATTGTAATGGATGTGCATCTCTCCACAAGACTTAGTCACACGTACTTGCTCCATGTAAGCCAGGGTAAACCGCTGCAGTATTGTAAAATTTATCACTGTAAAAGACATTTCGAAATTAAGGCATGTGTTGATATTCTTAAACATGTTGCCCTGCTGTATTAACTATCGATAGAATGCACTTTTCATTTATTTTATATTCATTTTTTCAGTGGTAGTGAAAAAAGGCAATCCCAAAAGTGATGAATTAGAGCAAATGGCCAATGACATTGATCCTAGTGATTGGAAGAAAGTTGCAAGAAAGTTAAAGATCCATGGTCCAAAGATCACAGCCATACATAAGGAAAATGAGGAGTTTTATGAAAAGATATACCAAATGCTGCTTAAATGGAAGGAGGCAAATGGAAGTGCTGCTACATGGAAGAAACTATATAAGGCTTTAATAGATGCTGATCTCAAAGAGTTAGCAGAGAAGCACTGCTGTAAAAAAACTAATTGAAAGAGAACATCTGTCAGGAGCAGTGTTCCACCAAACACTGTGCATAAGATATTTCTTAGCTAAAAATTGTTACGCTCAGGTAAAAATGTTGCTCTTGATTTTTAAAAGTATTTGTTAGTTAGCCAGGTGATAACCGATGGGATCGGTCCTTCCCTAACTGCACAACTTTTTTTTTTATACAGATTTTTGGGACTTTTATAGTTATGAAACTTGGAAAAGATAGAAGTTTATGTTACCTGTGCAAGCCTTCCTTTTTTTGAGTGTGCATTATATTGTCTAAAATTATTTCCAACGCTAGATATCTTGTACAAATATCCTACAGTTAAACTTCTTCAAAAGCTTTGTAAATAGTATTTAAGTCATGTTATTATCTAAAAAAATTTTATTCGCTATTTTTATCCGTAGATTTACTAATCTATGAAGTCATTTTTTTTTTTTACACAGTACTTTCTGGCACTTAGGTTTGACTTTGTCAGTTTAATTAGCTTTTGTTTGATTAAATCATACGATGATTTTTAATTTTCATTGTCTTGTTGGCAGTAGATATAATCCAGTTAAACAGATCTTCTCACTCATAATCTGGGCAAATAAGTCCGCAACGATCTAGATATGATATTATGGCGCGCACGTTTCACAAATTCGTATGACAACTGCCTTTAAATAACTTAAAGAAAACTTTTTAGGGGAAGCTTGTGATAAAGACGGAAACTTGGTTTCACCGACAAGACGAACAGACAAGCTTAAGTCAACTAAACTAACTTTCACGCGCAAAACAATTTAGGAACGTAAACATCGCACGCGTCACGTGCCATTGCAGGTGTAATGCTAAAAGTATGCACTCCCCACCCAGGCAAGGCTCAGATGCCCCACCCCCTTGGGAACGGATGACGGTCGAATTCCCGTAGGTTGCCCGGGAGGATGTTTAAGTTTTGAATCGATCGGTGTATAAGATCCTCAACTGAATATTTAGTAAATTAACTTTTAGGGGCCTCAGAGCCAGTTTTTCAACTTGTTGTGAGCCTGTTACCCAAGAAAGTTCAATTTTTGTTTCAAAATTTGCAAGTCATGTCATCAAAGTCACGCGGGCGGAAAAATTTATGTTGGTCCTGATCTACTGATTACTCCTAAGGAGAGATATTACCTAGCAATGGTATTTTTTTTTAAGTGGGCGTTGCTTTAGGTTTCACTTTAAAATAGTTTGTGAATAATTATAGAGATCTATGTTTTTAAATGTTTCAAGGAAGTTATTAAATAAATCTTAGATAGTCATCATTTTCGTAATAACATTGTACAAAACATCATCTTATTGTTATGCTAAGCATCACTTAAGCTTACTAGGTACTTTTAGTTGTATTCTTAATTTTTTCCACTTCAAATTAAAACAGTGGTTTTACAGAACACACGTTTGAGCGTCCTTTTACGTGTCTGTGACCATACAGTGTGTGCAGCCTTGCTTAATGATTGTAAGAGCCCATTTGGAGTAGAAGGTGCGTCCAAAGTTTTTTCTCTCGGTGTGATTTCGAAACCTTTGAAATCAAACCTATAGATTCCTTGATAGCCCGCGTGGCTTAAGGGGTTTTTCTTCTGAATGCTTTGTTTTTGTTTTGTTTTGTTTTTTTAAGGTTTTATGAAAGCCGCGAACTTCAGTTAGAGGTCTGGAGGAACTACGTATTTTTCGCCCAGGCCCCTCGCGGCCTTTAGTTCACTCTTCTCGATAGAGACGACATTGTCGGATTTAAAGAAGAAAGACCATTTTGTTTGAGAAATTATTGTAAATTATAGTGCCTTTTACAATTATCGCTTTTTTTATTCTTAATAAGCTCTGAAAGTACGCGGTTGCGCACGTGCAAACAGGAAAGGAGAAATGTGTTCGAATTCCGTGCAAGCCTGAATTTCTTTCAGGCTTTTTTCAGCAATTGCTTGAAAAGGAACGCATCAGCGAGGATCACTGCGTTATTTGACTTTCATCCCTAGGTCCAATAGAATTTATTTCAGTTAGAATTGTGAAATATTCATGCGTAGTCCTTGTTTAAAAACAGAGACTATTTCAGAGACATGGGAAAAAACAAAAAAACCAACACTTATCTCATAAAATGCTGGAAATCACCTTTCTGAGGACCTGAATATTAACATTTTCTGGGGGGAGGGGGCATGCACCACTCACCTCTTAGGATGGTCTGCCTTCGGCGAACATGTATCCGAACCCTCACTGAATCCTGGACTTTCCCCAAATACATAAATTGTCTTTAGTTTTCTCAGGTTAAATTTATATAATTCATAAATGAAGTGTGGACGTCTTGTATTTTGCAGCATACACCTTTATTGATATCTGTCGGGCTATACCAGCAACTAAACTACTCGTTACATCTAGTTACAAGCTCGGCTTTTATAGGTACGGTTGAGGATCTAGAACGTTCGGTAACATTACAACAGATTCTATTTATATATTGATTCGGGGATGACTCAGCATGACACAGCTACTTCCAGAACATTCTTGAAGGTCACACTACAATGAGATTGATTACCAGGCTGCTGATATAACATTTTAATTCTCAGTTTCGGTCAGGTATCATTCTGGAGAGGGTCCATTCATATCTTAGGCATATGTTCCGAAAATTTACCGCGTTTTTTTTCTTGATTTTTTTGTTTTTAAATTGATAGCGCTGTGTCTCATGGGATCGATATGCTAACAATAATAAGTCATCGTTCCGCTACTTAAGCACGTCACTGAAGCTTTCAGGTTAATTAAGGCCTGGGTCACCCTGCCTTTAACCCATATTTTTCACAAAATTGAGAATAACTTAGCTATTTTGCGAGGGATTTTTCTCATACTTGGCAGAAATGTTTATCACTACCATCTCTCTCGGACTGATTTGTGGCACGTTCCTATTTATTTGAAAAAAGACAAATTAAAACTGTCTAAGAGGTGGGAATTTTGAAAACTCGCAGTCACGTATTCAACTTAGTGTCCGCCATTTTGACACGCGAGTGCTCAGAAGCAATAATTGAACGGCTGATACACTACCAAATACTACTTGGAGCAATCTTAGAAGTAATATAGGCAAACTTTGTATACTTTTGATGATATTTATTTCGTTTTCTCGTTTTCTGAGGTCGATTGCATCTCTGTAAATCCAGGGTTCCCGCCAGCTTCTCGTCTCTTAACTTGCAAATTTGGGCGGTAAGAATAAAGAACGTTTGTAATTTTATCCCAAGTAGTATCATATAACGAGACTGAATTACAATTTTGGCGCAAAACTTGAAAGTTATCGCGAGATACGCACACTGATTCCTTGAAGCTCTTCAAGGTTTTGTTCCCTAACAACGGTACTACTCGATAACGAGCTAAGTGTATTCGTGTGAAACGAAAATGTCTGTCATTTTTAATTGTGGATTTGCAAGAGTTGCTATAAAGGAGAGCTTTCGTAAGGTTAGAAGTGCTTCGGTTGAAACTGACCGTAGTGAAAAGTGGAAGAACTATCTTACAGCGTTCGAGGGTGACAGTCAGGAAGTCTTTGCGGTCGAAAGTTCCACCTACGTCAAGAAATCCAAAGCAATTTACAGATCTTTCCGAAAGATGAACTCAAAAGCTAGGGCCCAGTACCAAGACACGTTTTCAATGGTAAACTGGAAAGCTCTTAATACAGCGCAGAAGAAACAGCACACACTGTCAAATTGTGGAGGTTGTCAAGTGCACTATTACGCCATCCATAATCTTTTCCCCAGTGGAGAAACTTTCAAAACCCGAAAACTTTTAAAAGAGGCCCTTATTGAAAGTGGGGTGAAGACACAAACTAAAGTGAAACCAACGCAAAAAGCCATTAAAACTGCTGTAAAACACATTTATTCAAAAGTGAATGGCCACTTTGAGAAAATATTTAAAGTAAGCTTTGTTGAAGCACAAACAAAAGTGAAGGAACTTCAGCTCCAAAAAAAGAAAGACGCAATTGAGAAGAAGCGGCAGCGTCGAGAGAGAGCACGCCAAGAAAAAAATAAAATCCAATGCTAATGTCTAGTCCATCTGGAGGAGGAGTAATGTTTCTAGCTACTTTGCAGCAATTTGCATGCCAGACAATGAGATCAACAATCTTCACCTTTACTTGTGTTGCAATCTAGCATTTATTTAGACACACTCTATAATATATTTGCCTTCATTTTCCAGTTTTTTAAAATGAATGCAAGTACCAAATATTCCACTGTAAACTTAATCAATCATACTGAACTTCTTCCAACCAATGGAGAGAATATAATACTGGGAGAAGGATCCTATGGTCGATGCCTTCTGAGACAGTACACACGATTTGATATAAAGGTTGTGGAAAAACAATCTATGATGCAGGACACCACAGAGATAATGAAGGAGGCTCACTTTATGCAGGCACTCGCACATAAAAGTATCCCAACCATAATAGGTGTGCAGCTTCAAAAGCAGCCCATTTCCTTAATAATGGAGTTTAAAGGGGAAGACAATACATCTGTAACAATAAGCAAACTATTGCCTTGTCAGAAAAACTGTGCAACAATACAGAATGTGCAAAGCTCACTCATAACAAATGACTGGTTAATTATTTCACATGATTTGACAGAAGCCCTTTCACATAGTCACACAAAAGGCTTTCTTCACTGTGATTTGAAGGCTAATAATGTTCTTGTGAGTAACAAACATGGCTACATCATCGATTTTGGAAAAGCATGTGAGAGCTCCTTTCCTCCTGCAAAGAAGTACAGCATCTGTTATCCTCATATTGCTCCTGAGGTTCTTAATGGTTCTCCCTGTAGCAAAGCAGGTGATATTTTTCCCCTTGGTAAAATTCTGTTCAAAGTAGGTGTTAAGCAAAACATTCCACTTTTGGTTTCCATGGCTCAAGAATGTTTGGATGCCAGCCCTGTAAGAAGACCAACAACAACAGGCATTATGGCAACACTGGCTTCCATAATATCTCACTGAATACTATAAGCTTAAGCAGGGGTTTCATGGGCCTGACATTGGGCAAATTAACTGGCTGGGAACATAATTTTTCCTGCATGTTGTGACTGACATATATCAGAATCAAAACATATTTTGCCTGCTTCCTTGTACATTTCCCATCACCTCAAAATCTTAATGAAACCTCTGCTTAAGAAAATAATAATTAACACTCTAATCAGGTAAAGTGACCCTAGCCATGTCACAGCAAGAGTCTTTTTCTTAGGCTTTGCAAGGTTAAAATTACAATGCATGTCTTTAGCAAGTTTATGTGTGCCCTTGGTCTAAACTAATTTTGTACTTCTGCTTTACGAATTGTGAATGAATGTTAGAGGGACAATTTTTAATAATGCACTGATAAGGTGCTCTAGGGTCCATCAGGTACAAATTACTTCATAGGTCATACTCATGTCTATAATTTTACATTGCTGCTAGATAACATACATGTACAGATTTATTTCCCAATTCCTGCCAATTATTGATCTATGAAATTGAATTTAGACAAGCAACTGGCAGATCAAACTTGAAATTATAAACCAGAGTTTTAACTAGTTAGGCCACCATAGCCTTCTAACAGGAATATTGACTTGGAAGAGGAACAAAAAAAGCAAGAAATACAATTTTAAAATTTTCCTTTCTGACTTTGTAACAAGGGCAACCTATCCTGCTCTTAAGATGGCACATCTTTCATGAGTAGAGTTGAGAAGATGACACATCTTATACCAGTTTGCGTTTGCTCTTGTCACAAAAAAAACAGTGCCCCACTTGGGGCAACAGTAAGCACTGGTAATTAATCATGTCTTATCAACAAAGAGAGAAGGCTATGGTCAGAATCATATACATGTATCAGAACTTTTGGGATGCATTAGAATTAAAAGATACTCCACTGGTGTAGTGGGTAGAATATTTACATTCAAATAGACACATATATCAATTACATGTCCATCATTGACAATGATTGTTGCAATTATTACCAGTCAAAACTTAAAACCAAACTGTTGACTATAATTAAAACTGATATAACATGATTTAAAAACCAAAAAAATGCCTCATAAATAACACCATTAATATTCTTGTAATAAATTAGTTGTGTGGAATAACTGGAAGGACCTTTCCAAGAAAACAAATAGGGATAACAGTAAATAAAACTGGTTTTAATCAAGTGGATTCCCTTTGGAATCTGCAAGGGCTGGCTGGTTTTCTGTGTGAGTAATTAAAATTATTATTATTATATATTTAAAGCAATTCAGTAAGTGACCTCGGAATAAACTAACACACGTTAGTACAGCTTTTTTCTCTTAATTTTCAAGGGACAATTTATGACAAGACAATCTGCATCTTACATGTCAGCAATTAAACTTACCTAACAACTGCTTTGAGGGATTAGTTTTGTAAGTAAATTCCTCTGCTTCTTGGAGAAATTGTTTCCAAAGCATTCAAAAGCCTAAATTTTGATAAACACCATAAGTTCACACATCATGATATGATAGAGGATTCATCAAGCACAGGCGGCCCAAGCTCACGTCTCGAGAAAGCCAACGATGAATTCATGAACGCGCCACGCGTTGTGTGACTCGGTGTTAAGTTACGGGAGGAACCGTTGAAAATTTGAACACGTTATAAGGAATAGTATAGGGAAAGAAATATGGTCGATTTACAACGATAAATATTTCGAAATATGAATATTTTACACGTAAAATCAATAAAACTTACTCATGCTCTGTGTATCCGTCGTAGTTTCTGGCGATTTCTGCCGTTTTAAGCTTGCTTTACCATCACTGTTATCCATGTCAAAAGACGAAGCGTTTTCCACCTTTATCAATAAAGGGCAAAATTACTGAGCGCTGATTGGTTGAGAGAGAGGGCATTTTTTCTTAATCGAGGGCATTTTTAGTAATCAAGAGAGGGCATGATTACCTTGTTCAGTTAAAAGCACTTTGTTGTTTTTCTGTTGGCAGAAACGTTCTGTTGAAATGAGCTTTGTTTTCTAGACTTTTGGCAGTGTATCACGACACAGTTTTGGAGAATAAAATTTCATTGAATTGATTGGTCAGTTCAATTTGATTGATGATTTGCCGTAGCGCTAAACAGGCTTCCCAGATAAAAATAGACTGCGCGCGTGATTTTCCTTCGTATAAATTTTGCCCTTTATTGATAAACAAGTAATCCCATGAGACCTCGTACTATTAAGGATTAATTGCACTTGAGTTTTCAAAATTTTGGAAAATTTTGAAAACTCTCGTGCAATTAATCCTTAATAGTACTTGGCCTCATGTGATTACATATACGAATTTCCAGGTTCGCTTCTTTCTGGTTATGCTTTGAACACGGAGACTGGAAACGCGAAAGAGACTTGGGTACGAGGTCAGTTTTCTCTCTACCGCGTGTGGTACGGTCGATTAGTGTACGATACTTAGCCCATCCCCACAGAGACACCTCGCCTTAACCACCAAACTACTCTACTGAATATTACAAAGAACGAGTTTTCACCGAAAGGAAAATTATGAACACTATCACAATGAACTTCATTTGACAATCTGCGTGGTCACAATAGGCTGAGCTAATCGAAATTTTATTGTCCTTTACAATGGATTTCCGGTGACTAAATGGACATTTACTCCAACGTAAATTAGGGGGGTAGATCATGGGAAATTCGGTCCAATCTTGAGGGTTTTTCCATTTTTCCATAAGTTTAGTGACATCAACTGGCAAAACATTGTAGTTTGATAGGCCATGCATGGAAGGGTAGATGCAATCGACGTTAGGACATCGCATGGACAATGGTATTTACATTGCGGTATGTAACACTTCACACACAACGTTCGCTTTAATTACAGTCAATTTCAAGTGGCGAAAAGTGATTCGCTTAGCCGTCAATTTCACCGCATATCTTTTGCTCTTCGATAGCATTTTAGCGAAAATAATCGAAGCTTAGATGCTCACAGCAAACCCTGCAGAATATTCAAATTTTGTCCGTTGTTTATCTGTTTTAGTTTCGACTCCCTGTCTGATTGGTTGATTAGGACGATAGGTTAAGGCGAGGTGTCTCTGTGGGGATGGGGTAAGTATTGTACATTAATCGACCGTACCACACACGGTAGAGAGAAAATTGACCTCGTACCAAAGTCTCTTTCGCGGCCGTGTCCAGTCTTCGTGTTCAAAGCATAACCAGATAGAAGCGAACCTGGAAATTCAGGTAGAAAACGCTCGTTTCCAGCGAAATGCGCGTGAAGTTTTGGTATTGAGACATGTCCCAGGGTGCAGTGATCTTAGATCGTAAAGTTTGGCTGAGAAAAATGCCGATCAGGAGGATTTTCGGGGCGCAAACCACCTCCGCGTGGACCACGGTCGAAATCGGAGTGTGCAGCCTTGACTTCGTCTTTTGACATGGATAACAGTGATGGTAAAGCAAGCTTAAAACGGCAGAAATCGCCAGAAACTACGACGGATACACAGGGCATGAGTAAGTTTTATTGATTTTACGTGTAAAATATTCATATTTCGAAATATTTATCGTTGTAAATCGACCATATTTCGTTCCCCATACTATTCCTTATAACGTGTTCAAATTTTCAACGGTTCCTCCCGTAACTTAACACCGAGTCATACAACGCGTGACGCGTTCATGAATTCATCGTTGGCTTTCTCGAGACGTGAGCTTGGGCCGCCTGTGCATCAAGCTAAATTTAGTTTCAAAATTGAATGGTATATCCACAATGAAACTTTTTTCTATGCATTTGTTACAAAACATAGTACTTTTTTCTATGCATAAGTTACAAACATTTTAAAACGCTATTGAGCTCTAGAAATGAGCGCTATATTATAAATTCATGTTGCATTGTATTTGCAGTGAAGTCAATGAACATGTTGAGAGCGGTGTTTAGAAGTCTTCGTAGGTTCAAAAGGGTTCTCTTTGGCTTTAAGATAGCAATATCATGCCATATTTTGAGGATATGAAGATAGCAAAGGAAATGTTATTACCTTCTTTTAATGTCTTCTTCTAGATTGTCGGATTCACCAACGAAGATGGGAAAAACCAATGCAAAGCCGACACTTCAAAATGGCGGATGCCGTTCACGAACTACGCGATCTTGATTATGGTTACTCGCGCAGTCCACGCGAATTCCGCGAACCTTGCTGGGGGGCACTGGAGGCGAAAATCATTTTTGACCCAGGCCTTAATTAACCTGAGCAACCCCGAAGATCTAGTACTTTCGTGGACCGGGATTTGCTATCCATACCTTCATAGAACTTCATGTATTTATTTAAAGAAATATAAGGTTTACAAAACTTCATGTCCTGCAAATAGCTACAATGCTAATCTAGGCAGGACAAGACTTTAACTAAAGGCGTTATTAAATTACATAAGAAAAAAGAAAAGAAGAAATACAAAAACATACAGAAACAAACACCTTACATATAAATTCAAGTACAAGGGATTTTGTTATTTGAAAAAGACTAAAATTACAACTAGAGGTATATACAATATATAAGGTTAACTTCACAAAATATTCTATTAAAAAATTAACATTCAAATAATTATCTTCATTACCTAGAACTTTAAGGAGTAGTGATTTAATTTTTTTACGAAAATTAGAAACGTTGAGAGTCTTAACAGAAAGTGGAATAGAATTCCAAATAGACACACCGATTCTAGTAAAAGATTTTTTCATTTTTTCAGTTCTAGAGAATTTGACAGAGAAGCATTCTTTTGCAGATAATCGCGTATTATAATGATGTTCTGTATTGATTTTCCCAAACTTATCGAGAAGACTTTTAGGAGCTGTCTTAGCATGAACGTCATACATTAAATAGCTTAACTGTTGAAAGAACAAAGACTGCAAAGGAAGGCAGTTTGATTCAATAAAAAAAGGGATTGCATGGTCTCTGGGTTTAGAAAAATAAATCAAACGCAGAGCACGTTTTTGCAGAACAAGTATCTTATTGAGATAGGTCTGTGGACAGTTGCCCCATGCACAGATACCATAATTTAAATAAGGAGAAATAAGTGCATGATATAAATTCAAAAGAAGACGCCGTGGAATGTAATGCCTCATTTTAGCAATTATTCCAACCGATCTACTAATTTTGTGACAGATAAAGTCAATATGATGCTTCCATGATAGTTCAGAATCAATCATTAAACCCAAATATTTAACAAAGTCCTTCATCTCTAGAGTTACTCTAGTATTTAAACTTGGATTAAAAATCTTAATTTGAGGAATGAAAGGCATTCTTTTTTGGTGGGGACGAAAAATGACATAATTAGACTTTTTGACGTTGAGCGTTAGTTTGTTAGCATTAAGCCATTCGCTTACTTTCTCAAGTTCATTATTGACAGTTAGTTCAAAAGTACGTAAGTTGTCATTTGCATAAGTTAGACTTGTATCGTCTGCGAAAAGATAAAAAGTAAATTCCTTGGAAGATTTATGGATGTCATTAATATATAACAAAAATAACAAGGGTCCAAGTACAGAGCCTTGAGGTACTCCACATACGATCGTTTCAGTTTCAGATATGCATTTGTCTATTTCAATAGACTGTCGGCGATCTGAAAGATATGATCTAAACCAAGAATTTATAACTCCTCTTATTCCATAGTGTTCAAGTTTTGTCAAAAGAATCTCATGGTTAACAGTATCAAATGCTTTCTTAAGATCTATAAAAATTCCACATGAGTACTTTCTATTGTCCATATTAGAATGTATGGTGTTCACAATATCAAGAATCGCGTGCTGGGTACTATGTTTATTGCGAAAGCCATATTGTAAATCATAAAGAATATCATTCTTGTCTATAAACTTGCACGTGAAGTGTCATTCTTGTCTATAAACATACACGCGAAGTTTTTACTTCTGAGTGAGGTAAGTAGTTTACTAACCCTGTAACGTATCCAGGATAGTCATGCCTTTTAATTGCCGCCTCCACTCTGTTGATCGTGCTAGTCGATACAATGAACAGTTGTGAAACAGTATATCCACTCACGCTTCGCGGAATTGTTCGAAAACAGTTAAGATAGCATATAGCAACGATTCGGTTTGAAAAGTCTCATTGGCAGAAGAAAAGCTAAAAGTAATTCAGTTCAACCTTTTAAGTTGTAATCTGTTGCCCAATTCTCACTACGGGGCACTTCGCTACTTAATGTTTTGAATTTTACTTCTACATTTGGAAGTTGCATCCTTAGATCAAGTATTTTCGTGGAGCAGGATTTGCTATCCATATACACAAACTTTTTACTTTGGAGTGAGGTAAGTAGTTCACTAGCCTTGTAACGTATCTACGATAGTCAAGCCTTGTAGTTGCCGCTTTTACTCCATGGATTGTGCTAGTCAAAGGAACGATCAAGTGTGAATTAATCCAGTCACGCTTCGAGGAATTGTTCAACAACGAATAGGATAACAAACAGAAAAGTTTTATTAGCAAAAGAAAGGCTAAAAGTAATTCAGTTCAATCTTTTAAATTGAAATCTGTGGCGCGCTTAAATGCTTTTACTAACGGTATTTAAGGCAAAAAGACATCGATCTGAAATCAAGACTCAGCAGACACCGAGGCCACTGGTTTTATAGACCGAGACCAAACTATTTACCCCAAACAACAACTATTTTACCGTCGCTATACTCAGATAATAGGCTTAAGATCTGAGGACGGCGAATGTCTACGCAAGGCGCGAAAAATCCTTAAGATACCAAGTCGAAGGCGCGGGCGGCATTGTTTCCATATTTTCGGTTTTTTATCACAAAGTACTTCAGTAATGGCTTCCTTTAGAGAGATTCGTAGCATTCTTCTGCAAAGTTTTGATGATGGCGATATGGCTCCAGTCTCTGTTCGTGCGCGTGAACTGACTAAATGAATTTAGTCAGCGGGGCTAGTCAGCAGATGACTTTTCCATCGCCGGAATATCGCTGAACGACCTCGCTGAACAAGCTAGACTCTGCCTTCTCTTCGTTATGTAAGTAGCCATTTCTTGTTTGACTCATCGGCGTTTTCACATTGATATTTCATTGTTCCGCTTCGAGACACGCGGTTAACCATACTCACGTGCAAGGAGATAAGATACAAGTTATTAACTTTTACTATTTTTATCATCCAATCACAGGTCGGAGCCATTCCTGTATTTAGTCGCTTGTTAGAGGACGAGTTCCTTCTTCTTTATGACGTTAACAAAAACTCCAAAAACCCAGATTTTCCCCAGGAAAGTTATAGGAAATTTGACCTTAATGATATGGATGACAGTGAGTTTTTATCCGAGTTTCGTTTTCGTTAGAGTGACCTTCCCGTCCTTTCTGAAGCCCTATATCTTCCTAACTACTTTGCATGTCAACAAGGAACAATATGCTGTGGAATTGAAGGGTTGTGTATCGCACTTCGAAGGTTTGTGTTGCATGTTTGTCTTTTTTTTAACTGCAAGCAGAACCTTTTTTTGTTCACCAAATATGCAAGACACTTTCACAAACACAAAATAATGGAGAGATTATCATTTACTAAGCGTAATTCGTGTTGATTTTTACCACATTCATTGTTAATAGCGTGAAGATAAGAGAATAAGAGAACTTACTGCGCAATCTTCCTAGCACTCGTGTCGGCTGTAGCCATGACCTGATTAGTGGAGAAAGAAAAAAACACTTTTTTTCCTCGAAAATCAGGCCCCAGAAGAGTAGGCAAACGAATTAAAAATATTATTGACTTCATAATGCGCAAAATACTCGAAAATTATAAAAGATATTTTGTAAAAACACTGTAATCAACTCATATTTTATACGAAACGGCAAACTAGTTGTTTTGATGCCGCAGACAACACAGCTACGGCGGGAATTTACGGGGAACGGCTACCGGAAGTAGGTAAACATGCATTAAAACTTCCGCCCGCCGTCGTAGACATCCGCCGTCCTCAGATCTTAATCTCAGAAAATTAAATATATCTCAGGTCTCTAATCGCTAGGTACCGGTACTCTTAATGACTAATTAAAATTTTCTCGCTCTCATGTGCACATCTTAACTTTGATAAGCTGTACACCTTCCTTTCGAACGAGGACCCCTGTTGTAAGTAAAGACCCCACATCCCCAGGAATTTAAGGAAAAGTGAAATTTGGGACTCACCACAAAGGTTGACAAGTTCAGATTCAAAAATGGCGAGGTCAGCGATTTTTTAAAGGTTCCTTTTGCTGCCCTTGAAAGGGTACTATAACCCTTCAGTTCTGAAGTTTCTTTATTAGCATAAGAGCTCTTGTGGGAGTCACATAGACCAATGACCTGCCTGCCACTGCAGAGGAATTGTACAAGATTGTAGATATCTAACAGAAGGAGACAAAATTCTTGACTTTTTCATTGTTCTTGTCACAACAGCATGGTTTGACAGAGGATAATGGAGTAGGAAGGTGCAGTGAGCGTTTTTGTATAAAACGATATTCATTTAGAAGCTGCAATGTAAAAATTTTTTTTCTCAAAAATATTTATACAGACTAACAAGAGGCACCCCTGTAACATGAACTTTGCCCATAGGGTAGCCTGTGATGCCCAATAAAATCTACTTTGAATTGATATTTGTCTTTGGCAGAGTAAGTGGTGTTCAAATATGGCCAGTCAAGTAGATGCAGATAATGGTTCTAGACCAAGTACTAGTGGTCCTGCCATGAGTTTTATAAGGACGGCTTCAGAGACTAGGATAGAGATTAATGATCGTTGGGCAGTTAGATTCTTGGTGGTTGCCGTCTCTGGGGCTGGTATTTACTTAACAAAAAGTTTAGTAACTTTTCTCCGTGAGAACCCAGAATTGGTTACAGATACAGTACAAAAGGCTGTTAAAGTTTGGGGTAAAGCTATGGTCAAGCCTGGGTCAATTATTGTTGACTTGGATTGTGGATCACAGGAGAAATTTTTGAAGTTTCAAAAAGACTTTGAGGATGGGAAAGTTAAAGATGCATTAGAGAGAGGGTTAGGAGAAATTGGCTACAATGCCGAATTGGAATTAACTCTCATAAAGGAAACTCCCAATGTGGCTACGATTAAAAAGAGGTAAACAAGTTGTTTTTATTTGATAGCTGACATGTAGTGGTCTGTAGGTCAAGAGACTGGGCAGGCCTTCCCTTCATACCTCAACAGGCTATCATTTTAGCAGGCAGTCACATTAACTTCTCTATTCAAACCTGTTTAACCTTGTACTATAATTCAGTATACCTTAAAATCAGTGTGCACACATTCTCCATACTGTTCTTCCCAGAGTAGACACAAGGAGAATTTATTTAACAATCAAGAGCTTCTTTAATTAGTTGGCGATCATTTCCTTTATTCTTATGACCTTAATGTGTGGTTCAGGGATGATATTTTAAGGAGAAATTAAATGCTAGATTAAGTCACTCTTGGGGATCCAATGGTTAGTATTTTGTTCTGTTTCCAACAGCGTGAAGATTGTTTTATCTGCATTAATGCCTTAACTCTGCAGTTCAAAAGCATTGCCAGGTTCTTTTTTAATTCTTCTAAATATGCTAAGGACCTTAAGCAGGAAAATTTTGCTCTTCCATAATGACTAGCTAGCTCCCACTGTTGGCTAAGATAACATTGTTGATTTGAGCTTGCGATGAAAATCTAAGAAGTTATAGGTGACTTTAAAGTTCTCTAGACACTAATCTTTTGCAAAAATGCAAATTGCTAAAGATCAAAATGGGGGATTAATAATTCACTTTATGTGGATGTTTTTTGTTTAAAATGCCATATTCTTATGCGAGATTCAGTATACTTTAAGAGTTCTTGTTAGCTGTGTTATTTTATTTTATTTGTTAGTGTTGACATTTATCCATCATCACAATAAATTGACCTCCAGTGTTAGCAAAAAGAAAAAATACTTATTTAATAGGTAAGAGCTATATTTTTTGAGAAAAAGGTACAATGTTGCATTTTCAGCAAAGAAACTGTGAAACAAGAGACCAAGAAAATTTTGTCTGCTGAAGAAATTAAGAAAGAAGGAAAAAAGCGGGATCAGAAAGCTGGTAAGACACGTGATCTGTGAATGTTTACAGACATTTATATAATGCAATGTATCAAAAGATATGCTACTGCAAGATCTTATAGCCTCCAAATTCAGAAAAAGTACAAACTACCTTGCTAGTCTGTATGTAGCAATGGATTTTTGTTTTGTAAAGGTGAACACATAGATTGAAATTGTTTAGAATAAATGTACCTACGAATTAGCCTCTCATGCCCAAATTTTGCACTCAAACTTAACAAATTTAACCTTTGTACATTTAATTACCAAACCAAGTATTGCGAGAGTCACCTATATTTAAAAATAGAAATTTGTATACGCAATTCTAACCATGAAAAGGGACAGGCAACCCAACTAAAGAAGACATTAAGTCTCCCTCTCAAAAGCGTAAAGATAACACCAGAGACTTTTCATTTGCCGATTGTGTTTCCTGAGAACGGAGAAAAGGTTCAAGTCGATGTAATTGTGAAATAAGTTTTCAAAGGTAAAGGTAGGGTTAAGTCGATTCCAAAAGCTGACAGGGGAATTGGCAAGCATGTATCACAGATAGTACTCAAGATGTCTGGAAAATTCGTACAATTCGGCTTCGGTAAGTAGGCTACTTACCACCGTGAGCAAAATTACGCGTGACATCACACTTAAGTTTCGATTGGGAATTGTCAATAGGCTACCAAAAATTCAGACAGAGGCGGAGTTTTCTGAACTAATGTCTGAACACTTTGTTGGCTTTCTGCCGTCTGGTAATTATGTACACGGTGGTAAGGGCCCTTCCGCACTAGCAACTAGACGCTGAAAAAACTTGTTTCTCTTCGCCAAAAATCACATCAGAATATGTCCTTGCTAAATGTCAAGTGAGCGGCACGTATCAGCATCCCTAGGGAACCCTTTACATAAGAGGGCGGAGGTGCGCGCCTGAAATTTCGAAAACGATCGTCATAAAATTATAAAAGGTACTTAAGTCTTATCCGTGTGGGAGTGGCAACAATTAGCCTGTAAAAACAAGTGTTTATGTCCTTTTCTGTCTTTTCAATGCTTCCCTCGCTCCTACAGAGGATTCATACAAATATGAGAGCCGTGCCGCGTTTACATTGTACAGGTAGAAAAGGTCGTCCAGAATGAGGGTGGTTTCTGTAATGAAAACCCCAATAAACTCACTCAGAAATGACTCGTTTCGAGTAAATTTTACGCTGGTTATTATGTGGCAACCGGTATGAACTCGTTCTTGAACAAGACTCATTCGGATATCATGTAAAAGGCCCCTAAAAGTTTTTATTTCCAGAGCATCACGCTTTGCTCGCCTCTCTGAATACTAAAAATTTCAGTAGCGTTGAAGCAACAACCCACTCTTAACTGCTTCGCTGCCGCTGAAACAACGATTAGTGAAGAAAGGACATGTTTTAATATTTTAAATTCAACGTAAACAAAAATCTTTGTACATGGTAAATATTCACTTGTGTTGGTATCAATTATTGCGTGACTAGCTTATGATATAAGCTAGGGAGGGGAAAACACAACGCAAAACCTGGGCTCCTGTCAAAAAGTAATACCCAGGTGTAATATAATAATCGAAACGGCTAATAAAATCATAAATAAACAAGGTAAGAGTGTTATGTTAGATTTTTTGCAGATTGTAGTGATTTACGCCAGTTAACGGTGGCGACAAGTAGGCGCACCATGTATATTCCATAGTCGCTATCAAGTAAATTTTGCCGGACTTTGAGTTCGTCTCAAGATAGAACAACACAAATACACAAGGAAATTTTTACAGTAACTTTATAACCATCCTTTGGTCTTTTAAAAGCTTGAAGTTCAGTAGATTCTGTCATATCGGTCATTGTTAAAACTGTCTTTGTTTTGATGCTACTTTTCGACATAGGAAAAGTATGTCGGACAAAAATATTCACCAAAAAATTAATATTTCTTTGCCAGCTCCAATAACGACAGGGGATTAAGTTTAGATGATACAACAAAGGATTGTGTTGACAGAAATACCGTAGGTCTAGTACATTCGTTACATGAGGTCACACAACTCGGGTAATATTCACGGTGAAAATTTGCATATTTGAGCGGTCGAACGAAAAAAGTCTTTTCTCGAAAACTAAAATATATTTTTACAAAAAAACTACACCACAATTATTAGACCATATTGGGCTACAATATATGAAAGTAGGAGTGAAAACAAATTTACGTGACTTGCCGCTGTTTGTTTGATGCATGCTGACATTAGCTCTTAAGTTGATTAATTTTCAAAAATCTTGTAATTACTACATGCGCTGTAGGTAACTATATAATAGCATGATATTTTTAGGATTGCATGATCATGTAGAATTTCTTTACAAACTTGAAGAACCTACAATGTCTCTCCCAAAATAGTTTTTTTGTGATGAATTGTTACTGACTCACAATAGGTTATACCCCCACTAGCTGTCAGTACATAAATCATTAAATTATGAACTTGGAGAGAACAGTTTTGTTCACATTTTTGTAAGATTTCCAATGAGAAAAGGCATATTAATCATACCTTACAGAGTTGTAAATGTATGACATGATCATTTTTCTATTGCTAATGGGGTTAAAAAGAAATTTTGAATATTTGACATTCATGGCAATGTAATCTGACTGGCAATCCTTCACATAAATGAATGATAGTCATTTCATTGGTGTCATGTCAGGTACTTCGTCCCAGTCAAAGATTTCATTGTAAGTACTAAAACATGGAACGACCTAAAACCACCTACAACCACCTACAACTACCTAGGTAGAGATAACTTTGCAACATGTAGTTACAAATAAATTCCAGTTGGTTATTGATCGTACGAATCTTGTGATTTATTTAACCTTGATTTACATCCTTTTATCAATAGCCTTTTTACAACATTGTACAACATGCATTTAGCTAATATTGAACACGCCAAGCATTTATCTCCGTGTGCCTGAAAAACGCAACAAATTATACCTATTCTGCAGGCCAAATATCTTAAACTTCAGTTCTATGGACAAACTAGTTAGCAGGAGGAAATGCAAGCACAAAAATAAAATATTACATTTTTACCCTAACCTTTTCATCTTACTTACATACTAGCTTCTCGTTCCACTAAAGTCAAGCAAGAGGAGGAAAGAGGCTCAGCTTCCAAAAAACCTAAACGTGTCAGTACAGGAGAACCTGGAACTTATGGGGTATCCAACACTAGTGAGAAAAGGAAGTTTAAGGGTAAGGACAAAAGGAAAATTAAATTTTAAGTTGATTAATTTTCAAAAATCTTGTAATTACTACATGCGCTGTAGGTAACTATATAATAGCATGATATTTTTAGGATTGCATGATCATGTAGAATTTCTTTACAAACTTGAAGAACCTACAATGTCTTTCCCAAAATAGTTTTTTTGTGATGAATTGTTACTGACTCACAATTGGTTATACCCCCCACTAGCTGTCAGTACATAAATCATTACTCTGATCAGTTTGATTAAATTATGAATGTGAAGAGAACAGTTTTGTTCACATTTTTGTAAGATTTCCAGTGAGAAAAGGCATATTAATCATGCCTTACAGAGTTGTAAATGTAAATTTGTAAATGTTGTATTGGAAGCTTTAGCAGTCTGCTTTTTGGTGGTGGTGTTCTTGGAAACTTGAATAGATAAGGTTCACAAGAATTCAGTGCTTACAATATCTCACATACTTAAAAAATAAAAGTTAATTGATACAACTCACTGATGATCTTGTAAGGTTCATTGAATAGTCACTCATGGCAATGTAATCTGACTGGCAATCCTTCACAGGATTCATTCAGGATTCAGGATTTCTTCAAAAAGGAGAAGAATGAAAAGGCAAAAATTTTTGATACATTCCTTTATGGCTTGTCCCAGGCTCAGATGGTCAGTGGAGACAAAAAGAAAGCACTGAAGGCTGTTATTTGCCTGCTTACTTTCCTCATGCGCTGACCAAGAGCCTGGAAAAGGCTGGTTCCTTTTTTAAAAATTATGGTCATTAAATACTGAAGTACTTCAATAGAATAAATCTTAAGATAAGTTATTTTCTTTGTTCATTGCACGTGGGTTTATGAAGAAGTAATTGTAGTTTTAAGATGGAACTGACTTAGTACAGTAATAGCACATATTTAAATTATTAGTGTATGCATGCCTGTACTTGGATTAACTGATGTTCTACATCATAAAGGCACAGTTTGTTGGAGTTATGACATTTTAATAACAAGCATAATAATAGCATTCTTGGGTGAAGAGCTCATTAAAAAAACCACCAAGATAATATTATTAATAACGAGAGGAGCAGTGTCCTTAGTAATGTGTAGTTCTGGTTTTGTGTCCTCTTTTTTTCACCTAGTTTGATATTCTGCTTTTATATTCAGCTGTCTGCCATTATTTAATCATGTTGGACTTTGTCCTAAGGTGCATCCAAGGAAATTCTTGCTAAAAGACCTAGAACTCAATCTAAGAAAAGCAAGAGTAATATTTGGAAAGGTAACTTATTGATCAAAATCAGCACTATTACACAACTTCAAGTCAGATTGAATCCTTGTATAGGACCTTGTTATATGTAATTATGTTGCTTCCAGATTCCTAAAAAAGCAAATGGGGGTAGTTTTAAGACAGGAACTAACTGTCAACAAGTCATCAACAACATATAGGAGATATCCTTAGCAGACATGTTTAGCTGACTTACATAGGTTGCAGTATATTGGAGAGAAAGTAAAACAAGTGATATATGGGTAATTGACTTTGGCTTTCTCTGGGCTTTGTTCAAGTTCTATAAAAGCTCAAAGAGAAGTTTTCATTTTTTTTCAAACAGACACATCAAAGAGCTTTTCAATCACATGTACTTAAGCTTTGCCCGAAATGTCACAAATCCTTATAATTATAGTTACTTGTCACGAAACACTCGCTAAAACCGTAAGACCTCACGCTTTGAAAATAAGCAGTGACTGAGAGAATGATATAGGAGGCGACTAATCTATATATATATATTGATGATAAAATACCTGCATTTCTTTAGTGCTTTTGCAGATTCTCGTTTGCTTTACTTCAGAAACTTTTACTAAATAATTAACTTCACTTCATGTATATTTTCTACTTACAAAAGTTGAAGGTTTTTTTGTTCTTTTTTCTTCTTCTCTCAGAACAACCCAATAACTCTAAAGGTTTTAATGTTATATTATTGTCTACTAACTCAGCTCCTTTTGACATTTCTGAATTTAAAATCTAGGTACATCTGCACAAACAGTTAACAAGAAAAAAGAGATGGCTAGTACACCAAGACACAGCAAAAAAAACGGTAAGTATCTGAAAAGCCACTAAGTAAGGTAAGGAAAACTTCAGAATTTTCAAACAAAATTGACCCAATTATGGCTATTCTGTTGAATATCAAGAAAGTGATAATCATTATTAGTACCATGACTTACTGGCTAGTTTGATTGAATACATGTACTATCCCTGAGAGACGACTTGGTTCTGAGAGCCAGCTAATGAGATCTCGTACATGTAAGTAGATAGGCTTTTTTTAAAGCCAGTTGATTTCATTTGTTACTTTGTGGAAATGGAGTCCAGAGTTATTAAATCGTTATCAGTGGTTCGAGGGCTAGATTGTCAGACAAATGATTTAAAGTCTTTTCTATAGTTAAATAGGGCATATCAGATATGGCTGAGCTAGAAGTATTGGATAGAGATATTGGTGACAAGTGGAAAATTTTGGGAAGACGTTTAAAAGTTCCAGAAGAACTGGAAATAATTGATGCGCAATATGAAAACCTTACTGAAAAAGGCTTCCAGATGCTTAAACACTGGACCCAGAAAAGAGGTTCCTCTACGACCAACAGAGTTTTAAGTGGTACCTTAAAAGACGAACCTTTATAACATTATGGTTGACAGTTGACATAACATATGCTTTTCCTGTCTTTTCACTCTGATATGCTAGGGAATGAGCAGTTTAGTATACACTTTCTCTGCTCTGTTTTCTTGTTCTTATATTTATACATGTCACTTTCTTGGAAAAGTTTAAAAAACATATCCAAATCTTGACATTTCTTTGCGCAACCAAAACAGCTGCTCAAGAGTCAGAGTTACGTAACAGCAAACTAAGTACAGTCAGCAAGAGTGTTGTTTCGTGGTCGAATCTCAAAGTAGAAATTGATCGCTCAGCTTTTTTTTAGAACAGTATTTTTGACTCTTCCATGCTGAGCATTAGTAGATCTAGATCATCGGTAATACTAAACAAGTTGACCAGTATTAAAAGCTTGTAGGTTGATTTTAACCAAAATAAATACAATTATTCAGGTCATTATGACATTTCAACTGGTAAATTGTTGTAATTTATGAGACTACACGGCATTGTATTTATTTTACACCCCATTGTTGGTGTGCTAATGAAGAATTCCCCCAAAAAGTGTTACAGAAATATTTGGTAAGGATGGCAGTTATTTTTTGACACATTGAAACTCACAGCAAGCAATGTTATTGTTGTTTAGCTTTAAGCAGAAACACATGCATTCTTGAGGGTAACCTGATTGTTAAATTTTTACGAGAAGTTTCCTCGAATGAGCCTGTTGAAGGCTGTCAGTTTTCCATCAATTTCCACCTGTGAAATCCCAGGACAGACTTGAGCGACTAAACCTCATAAAACGGCAGCTTTTTCTTTATTTGCTATTATTGTTTTCATCATCATCATCATCATCATCATCATCATCATCATCACCATGATCACTATCATTATTATCATTGTTATCATTAATATCATCATCATTATTACTATCATTATTATCATAATTGCTATCATTATCATCATCATCATCATCATCACCATGATCATTATCATTGTCATTATTAACATTATTATCATCATCATTATTACTATCATTATCGTTATCATTTTTTTGAGAATATTTTTAGATTTTTTTAATATATAAGATGGATGTTTTTGACCTTCAAATAAGATTTTCCATGATATTTCCCTTGAGCTAGGTTGAACTCGAAAATAGTTAAGGATAGGATTAGGAAGTAACAGATTGTAGTCGATAGAATGTAATCATTAGAATGAAATAACTATGTGAAATGAGACCTATGACAGATTTTAATTTAATTAAGTTTATACTATATTGTAGGAAAAGAATTTTAGTGAATTAAAATTTATGTTTATTTATTGTTATCATTATTATCATTATCATCATCATCATCATTATTATTATCATTATTATTATTACAATTATATCATTATTATTATTATTATCATCATCGTCACTATTATTTTCATTATAATTATTATTATCATCCTTATCATTATTATCTTCATATTATTTTCATTATTATTATTATTATTATTATTACCAAGAAGATCCTAAAGTAAAAAAGTGACAATTGTATGTTCGACATGTAACGAAAGCCATCCAGTAACAAGCTTATTTGTATTTCTCAGATACCAGCTGTTTTACTTCTTTAATTTTTCTTATTACAGTGCTTCAGTGTACTTCAATATTTATAGCGATTGCCATGTTAGAAATGCAATCGAATATTTTCCCATTGTACTGAAATATATGTAATAAATTAAACTTTACTGAATACCTTTGACTTTAAGAGTTCATTAGAAATTTCGAAAACGCTCTTTACAACTTTAAACGACACGTTCTTGAGAATATATCGTTTCAGCTGTTTCCCTGTAAAGCAGTAGATTTGCTACAGATCGTTCTTCAGTTAGAGAGAAATATGTTTACCCTTCACGGGAAACTTTAGGGACAGCTGTTATCTTAGCAATGTGTATGACGCATGTCATATACTAACTTTCTCCATAATCTTACTCAGTGGTCGAATAATTCGAGAGGAATGCCTAAAAAATGGGAACTTTGGGTTACTCATTTTAAATTAGGAAAAAAACAAGTTGAAGACGGTGAACTGAAAAAAGGAGGATGGGATTCAAAGAAAGATTTCTTCTAGACCATACCTAGACCACTCACTTTAGAACACTTTTTAAGGTCTAAGGAGTTGGTGCAATTGGAATGTATTTCCCATCCTGGAATTAGTTACCAGGCTCTTTGACCATGCAAAGACCAGATTTATATGAAGAGAAAAGTTCATTTGTTACCGCTCGACTACAGTCTTTAAAATCTTATGTCATTGATAATTGCGGTTTGGCAACTAAATGCCGTCCTTGACCATTAAGGATAACAGAATGCGAACATCCTTGGCCTGGGAAGTTCCTGTCAATTTCGTAGGAGCTCACACGCACGCAACCTCACGGGGCTGCGTGGGACATTGAGCTGCGCGCGTGATCTTGCGTGTACAGCCTACCTGCTTGTTTTAAGGCCTTGCTCCACGATGTGCGTGGGTGGGAATCAAGTTTCTAGATCTATGCACTTAGCTTCTTTCCCGCTCAAAACATCCTTAAAGTGGCAAGGCAAGATGAAAAGAATCCCTTACATTACGGTATATTGTCAGCTGTAGGTCAGTCGCTAATCGAAGACTGGAATTCGAACGAAATTGAAATCCCAGCGAGATGAAGTCAATGTTTCTTGTGATGTTTCTAGAAAAGAATCGCTAAAACTTTACCTGCCTTTTTAGTTTTATTTTATATAGACATTAGCCTTGCTTATCATCTGACATTTTCTAAGAATCTAGAAGTTCTACAGTTGTGAAACTGCATTATTGCGGCTGACAGAGGACTGGAGACGCATGCGTGATAAAGGGGAACTGGTTGCGATTGTCGCTATAGACCTTTCTAAAGCTTTTGATGTCATTCAGCATGACTTACTCTTGGCAAAACTCAAAGCATATGGAGTTGGCGAAGGAAGTTGCGCCCTACTTAAGGACTACTTGTCAGGAAGACAGCAGCGAGTAAAGATTGGAGATACCTTCTCCAACTGGGCGGACACCAGAAGAGGAGTTCCACAAGGGAGCGTTTTAGGACCAATGCTTTCTAATATATTTATCAATGACTTGTTTCAGCATGTGAAATATACAAAACGAAACGCATACGCAGACGACCATCAGATTTATTCATCTAACCTAGACCCACTTGCACTGGAAAAGTGCATTTGTCAAGAAGTTAACGTCGCAAATCAGTGGTATAAAAACAATGGCATGATTGTTAACAAGAAAAAGCACCAAGCTCTAATCCTGGGAAAAACTGAGCCAGTTTTTGTTTCCCAGTAAATAACTCGATAGATATATTTGGAATGACAATAGATAATAGGCTTTCTTTTGATAATCATGTATCAGTTATCTGTAAGAAAATAAATAATCAATTTAACGTAATGCTTAGATTTCGGAAACTTATGAATAAGGAGACGCTATTGAAGCTTCATAGAGCCTTTATTTTGCCGCATTTTTACTACCGTTCTTCTGTTTGGCATTTCTGTGGTGTGCGCAATGCCGACAAAGTAGATAATCTAAATAAGCACATTCTTAGGTTTATACTACAGGACTACAGCTCTCCATATGACATTTTACTAAGCAAAGTCAGCTTAAAATCTCTATTCATTAGACGCCTCCAGAACTTCATGATCACGTTGTATGAGTCTATTCTTTACGAATTATCCACATTATTTAAAAGATATGTTCATCGTACGCTCTTCATCCTACAATTTGCGCGGAAATCATATCATGTCCCTTCCCAACCCAAAAACAACGACATACGGTCTGCACTCTTTTTCATACTTAACTAGCAAAATATGGAACTCTCTCCCAGACACTAACAGAACATTAAATTTTCTAGAATTCAAGCGGAAGATCCTCAGATATGAAGCCTTTCCACAGTAGATCTATAAGTTATGTTTCCCTCTTAGTTTTCCCTCTTAGCTTTTAGTTGTATATAGTTTATAAATAATATTGAAATTGTGAGATAGCATATTTTTATTTCATTTTAGCTTCTTTTTCTCGAAGATATTAGCTCTACAGCTACACTGAATTTCGAGCTTAAATAAAGTATGTGTATGTATGTATGTATGTATGTATGTATGTATGTATGTATGTATGTATGTATGTATGTATGTAAGATCTACTCTCAGTGTTTATTAAACATGAAGATCGATCGGACGGCCGTTGAGATATTATACTCAAGATTTTGGATTAAACGTTGCACAATCAAGCTTGTTTCAATTAAGCTAAATCTTAGTGCATCTAGAATTCATAATGGTCGAGCGAAGACGGTTGCATTTTTTCCAAACAGGTATTTTAATACAGGATTATTATGGGCGCAATGTAGAGAATTATGCTATGAGAGGCGATCGAAGTTTTCTCAAGATAATCCATGAGTTTATATAAATTTTTTGTGCTTACTGATTGTTTCTCACGCTAACAAACTTAAAATAATTCAAATCAGCTTGTTGCGTCATCCTTAGTGTGTAGTATGCAGTTGAACATGATCTTTGTGAATAGTGGTAAAAAAAAACCGGTAACACTATTTAACTTGTAAATCTATGTGCACAGGAACAGTTAAAATAAACTTAGAGCGATTATGTATAATCCGCAGGTGCCTCATCAACAGTTTGTTGCTAGCAGGGCATAGATATGGGTGATCAAATTACAGAGCTTCTGCAGGAAAGATTTATGTGCAGCCTCATACTTTATTATGCATAGTTCTTGGATAAACAAAACAATGGCAAACCGATATCTTTGCGACTACACCTTTGTTTTAGAGGAATATGAGGCTGAACGGAAATCTTTCCCTACTTTTCTACAAATTAACTTTAAGCTCTACTTTACGGAAATAATTTCATTCAAAAAGGATTCTACTTGAGAGACAATTTTGTAACCCTTTTTAGGAGCTAGAACGTTTAATGTAAACTATTAAGAGAGGATGTCAGTGATCGAACAAATTAGGAATATTTTGGCAAGTCGCTCAAAATTCGTTTCACTCCTACTTTCATATTTTGTAGCCCAATATGTCCTAATAATTATGGTGCAGTTTTTTATTATAAAAAAACATATTTTATTTTACGGGAAATTATTTTTTCGTTTGACCACTCAAATATGCAAATTTCCACCGTTAATATTACCCGAGTTGTGTGACTTTGCTTTGCTTTTTTCCCTGACAATGTTACCGCAGTTATTGTTTAAAGATAAACACAATTAACCACACTGGGAAACTAATTGAATGAAGAGCTCTGATTAAGATATGGTTACATGCACTTTATTACTCTGCAAGCTGCCACTTTATCATGAGAGTCTCACGTGCATAGCTAGCATTCACTCTAATGTGGTTAATGAGGGCAAGTTTAACTTAACTATGGATGTCTTTGGAAAGTGATATGAATATGTGCATGAATAAAACACCTGTTTAGAGACTCGAGCGAATTGCAGCTTCAATGAAATCTTTGGCTCACTTAATTTGCATCCTCGGGGGACTCCTGTTTGAGGATCTGTGTTTCAGCCCTGGGTAGGTCATTTTGAGTTAAATCTTTAATCCCCTGAGAGTGACCAGTATCTAATTTCTCCTTACAGTAATACGGCTGAATCATTTATTAAGATCATGAGAATAAAGGAAACGATCGCCACCAAAGAAGCTTTGATTGTTAAACAAATTCTCCTTGTCAGTACCAGAAGAAATCTGAAGAGCAAAGTATGGAGAATGTGGATACTGATGTGAGGGTGTAAAGGGTTGAATGTTCTTTAGTGAGACTGACTTTACTCTCACACAGTGCCTCTCTTCACCCAGGAGTATAAAT